TGACAGGAGGGGACTGTGGAGCAGGAGATCCTGTGGCTGGGTTCCAGCCATGCTCAGCACAGCCCAGGACAGGCTCAGCCCAGGTGAGATACCAAGAGATGTCATGGGGTGACAGGGAGAAGAACAGGCAGCACTGGTCAGAACCAGCACCAAAATCCCCTCTGTAACCACAGGCTCTGGGCTCTGAGCTCATCAGTCTGTGCTCTTCATGTTCCTTCCCAGCAAAGCCAGCAGGCAGGAGTGTAGGTTGAGTCAGAGCTGTGAAATGGGGCGACCCTGTCACGTCTCTAAGGGGGAGCCTGACACTCCAGGGTGGGCTGAATGCAGATCTGCAGAATCTGGGTCACAGCAGAGTGGGATGAACACCCAGTTACACGGATTCTCACAGCCCAGCATTTGCTGAGGCCGTGCCTGCTGGTCAGAGGGGTCACTGCCAGCTCTGGGGCTGCTCAGGTGGCTCTGGGCAGGAGGTGGAAGGACCTTGTCCAACACTCATCCCTCCCCTGTGGAAATCCCACCCAACCCTCAGTCAGCTCGACCCTCATCCATCAAGCCTTCCTACTTCTCTTGCTATTTCTGTTGTCCTTTGGTGGTTTTTTCCTGGTGCTGGCACATTTACCCTGTCCTCAGGTTTGGCTAGGCTGCTGTAATGTTGCAGGCACTGGTATGGCTATCTGCATATTATTTACAAAACAGCTCATTAAATAGTATTTATAAATATTACATGCAGCTACAGAAGAATTTGTGATGATGCCTCTTGACATCTGTTTATTTTACAGGAGATTACAGGGTTTGCTGCTATTCTGCCTGGCCTTGGAAGGAAGAATCAGCCTTCTGACGGAACCTGGGCCCAATTAAGACTCAATTAGAGACAGATGAATATTTCATAACGAATAATGTGTACAAAGCAATTCACCTCTTCTCCATGCACAGCTTGCCATTTTCTCAAGTGGCTTCTTTATTCAAACTATTCTCAGAAAAACAAGTATAAATAATTCTTGTTCCACATTTTCTTCAATAACTGTTGCCACACACCTTGCAGAGCTGGGTCAGCTGGACTCAAGCAAGTAATAAACACTGACATGATCTACAGGTTCAAAAATCATCACTCAGCCTCCCCACATCATCACAGAGATGGGTAAATCTCCAGATAAATAGCTGCTGGATCCTTTTAATTTGCCCTCTTTGTTCTGACTCCTTGAGGACATTTGAATTTAATTTTCAGGCTTTTCTCTGCAACATCAACGAAAGCTGGAACTTTCATCTAATTACGTCTCCACATCTCCAAGGGAAACACCAAATACCAAGATGTTCAGGATCAAAATGAGAGCAGATGACCTGGAGGTGAGCAAGCTTCTTCTCTAACTGGTTCAGCAAAACTCTCCAGTGAACACTTGTACCAAAAATTCATAATTACACTCTGCTTTGGTATATTTGCTGAAGAAATGCTCAGAATTTGCTCACTCTGTTTCCCAGTGACACATCCACTACATTACCCACTGCAGAGGCCCACGAGGAGTGGAAATATGTCATAGGAGTGAGCAAGTCCTGCAGATATTTTCTACTTGCTCAGCTCTATCTTCAAGCCTGTCAGCCAGTGATCAAGACTCTCCAAAATTTGTTGTCAGGGGAGGTTTTGGTGTTTGTTTTTCTTTTCTAGGCTAGGGAAAAGATTACTTACCCGAGAAGAAAGAGAGCAGCAGCAGGCTGAGAAGCACCAAGGCACCTGTAGCCTTCATGCTGCAGGAAGTTCTTTAGTCCAAGCCAAGGATGGAGCAGAAGGTGTTGTGTCAGTCCCAGAGCCCACAGTGTGCACACAGAGCTGCCTTTCTGTGTATTTATGTGCCTGTCCGTAGCTGTTCTCATTCCCCACCTTAATTGTGAGAACTTCTCCACTTGGTTTCTAAAGCCATTATTGGTCCTGGCCGGTTTATGGTGCTTTAAGGAATGCTGCCCTGTCCACATCAAACCTAGAAAGGGATAATTACATGAGTGATAGACGTGCTTGTAACATAATTATATATTTATTTTTTTTTTCCAAATAGTCACAGGATTCTCACAAGGGTGAATTTTCAAAGCAGTGATTCATCAGGGAAGCTGGTAATTTTCATTCTCTGGGCCCTCTCCGAATGCCAGCACCGAGTGATGACACTCACTAGACGTTACGAAATAAATCACAGCATGAGAATGTGTTGTCTGTGAAACCAATTATACGTTGTTCCCTGGCTATTTTTGAGGATGGTTCTAAATTTGTGGAGTTGGGGTGGAGAAGAGCTGGGCTGTGACATGCTCTGCTCGCTGCGTGCACAGTCCCAGATAGGACTGCTGACTCTCCTCCCTGAACTATTTAAACTCTAGCTGTCAATGTTTTTCCAGTTTTTCACATTCACAAACATATGTTAGGGCTCTGCTCCCACCGCAAGTGGCAGTGGTGGGAATTTGATGGGGAATTGGCAGATCCAAGCTCTATTTCCAGCTGAGGCTGTGCACGGATTTGTGTTCAGGCGCACCGTTCGCCAAACACCTCTCCAGATAAGAATAAGCCTAAATTTTAGTATGCTTTCCCAAGGAGGCAAGGCTTAGGAGAGGAATGTGTGTAGATATATCTGGGTTTCAGTTCCCCCACTGAATTTTGAATACACCCCTAGTTGCAGCCAAATTTTACACAGGAGTGAGAAAAAGAAATTAAAAATAAAGATCACATTTCTATACATTTTTTTAGCAACAGAGGAAAGATGCTACCAGCATCCCCAGCCAGTTTCTGCAGGAAAGCAATGCTATGGGTGCCCTACATCTGGGGATGCAAACTGAAATCAGTTTGCAGCTTGCCAGACATCTTAAAATCCACACAGTGGCAGGGAAACCATGACTGACAGGCGAATCCTGGGCTGTCTATTAAGGGTGATCTCACGACGCAGCCTCTCATGTAATTTAGTTATCAAACCCGTCAGCCGCAGCACCATTCCCAGCCACGCTCAGTTCTGCCACTCACAGCACTCCTTGTTTGCCTTTTCTGCTCTCAGACGTCACCACAGCCTCGATGCCTCAGCCCCTTATCTGCCCAAACAATGTTTTGGTTGCTGCAGCACAGCTGGGCTGGCTCCAGCCCCAGCAAACACAGGCAGGGAACAAACCCCGCAGAGGAAAAGGCTGAATTGCCAGCCAGGTGGTTATCGCTATTGCCCCTTTCCACTTCTTTGCGACACCTGAACAGGGGCTTGGTGGCAAAGGGGGGGGAATTCTGTCCCTCTCAGGGGTAGGAGAAGGGCGCCTGGACCTTGCTGTGCAGAGTCTTGCTGGTGTCGAGCTGAGTTTTTTGCTGGTCACTTTTTAGATTTAAATGCTACAAACCTTTCATGTTCTAAAGTCCTTGCTAGAGGCTTGTGAGACAGCCACATATTCACCACTTGCCCCCATTTTGCTGCAGGTGAGAAGCTCCTCTTTGGGCCTTTCCAAAGCCTTCTGAGCAGCTATCTGATTCCTCAGGCACAAGCTACCTCAGAAGGCTGACAATAAGACCTTGCCACTGAAGATGATTTCCTGCTATGGCCAGAACTCCACCGCTCTGTGGCCGCAATGTGAACCTCTTGTCCAACAAGGAATTATAAAACAATTCAACTAACACATCCAAACTGGCTACTTTTACTGCTCCTTGACTATGTTCCCAGACACTCAAGCAGGTAATTAGTGAGGACTCTTGTGACTCTCCAATTTCTCTCTGTTTTCTTAGGAGCAGGCACAAAGGTATGATGTAATTTATCTTACCTGTAGTAACACCAAAAGAACCCATGAAAATAAGAATTTCCATTCTTCTTCCTGCTCTCTGTGCTGGCTCTAGGGAAGGACAAGCCTCCTACATTCTGGTGGGGAGCACCTATAAAATTCTTGGTCAAGAAATTATCTACTTCAGGAAACAAGACCAAAAAAAGTATCTTGAAAGTCACAGATTTTGTCCTAAATATCAGCCTTAGCAGCAGGTGTTCTTTTACATAACAAGAGAATGGGAGGTGGAGAAAGGATGAGGAAGGGAGTGTGTTAGCCATGGCACTTGGGACTTTTTTTGCTTGTGCTGTTTGCATATTAACTCCTTGACTCACCCAAAGAGATGGCACATCATCACCAACAATCATGAATGTCATTTTTTCCTGCAGTGCACGCTTCAGGCTCCCACAAAGATGTTATCTTCACACCTTTTTTCCCCAGATAGAAAACACATTTGAGCCGCTAGCACATCTTCTTGCCCTTCTTTCCTGGAGTTAGAAAACACAAGACCTTTTCCTGAGGGGCCCTCTGCCTCAAATACCACCAGTACAGCTTTTTAGATCTCTTCTCCATGAAGCTGAAAGCCTGAGCCCAGTCTAATTTCTCCTCAGGTTCTCATTAGGCTCATTACAGCCTTGCCTAGCTTGCTGCAATTTTCTGCTGATGGGCACAATCTCAATGGACACACCCTTCAAGGAAGCAGCAGTTCCTCATTTTCCTCCCTATGAGATACCTCCTCCCTTTGCCATGAGCCTCCTTTCTATAAGGCACCACCAGACCTGCCCCTTGCCCAGGTGAGACCAGGTAAAGCTGATCACACCCCCTTCCACACTCCCACCAGGCCAAGGCCCCTAAAAGGAACAGTTCCTCCAAATTCCAGTGCTGTGACAAAGACAAATCCATTTACACTCTGCAAGGCTTCAAAATTAGATTCAAAGCTATGCTATTTTATAGCATTTTATGATGGTTTGCTACAGAATGACATTCCCTCTTGAGGGCTTGGGCTGGTGTTTGGCTCTTTACTGTGGTTTATTTCACCACTTCTCCTGCCTGTCAGAAAAGTACCCAAAAGCCTGAAGACCATTAGCCCTCTTGGAAAACAAAACCAAAATCAAAAACCACTCCATGGCCAAGATTGTGGCTGCATTTAATTTATTGATCAATCAAAGCAGAGACTGATGCATAACAGTTATGGGAGCAAGGAAGAGCATGTTTGATTGCAGGATTTGTGAGGGAAGTGTCATGTTGAAGGGTCCAGCTCCAGCACTTAGCATTCTCCCTGGTGCCTGAAGAACAGACCTCCAAGGCTGCGTCTGAAGGGAGAGAGGGAGACCAAAATTAGAGACATGGATCTCATTTTTATAGCCTAACTTTGCCCAAATAACCCAAAAGCCATTGTGCTCTCCAAGTCATAGAGTACTTCACTTAATGTTCCGCCTCTTTTCAGATTCCTCAAGTTACACGCTTTCATAGGCTGAGGAGATTTGGGACAAACCCCATAATTTTGGACACCTCCTACGGTCACACTTTCAATCACCCTGACAGGGAGGCAGCCAGCAATGCTATGAGCCTGCAAGCAGAGATCTGCTTTTAATTGCAAGGGGAGGAGGAGAAGACTCACTCAGGCTTAGGATCTGTGGTGCCTGGAGGGGGCTGGCAGAGGAGCGAGCGCTGGGAGAGGAGCACGGGGTAGGGATGGGAGCTAACGGGAGCTCTGGGGCTCCCACCAGCTGCACGGGAGCTGCTCTGGTTCCCTGGGCACGTGGTGAGCTCTGCACTTACGAGACAGCGGTGCAGAAGTGGCACTTGTTGGAGTAGGTCCTGCCGTCGGAGCCGCAGATGGGGGTGTACTCGGAGGTGCAGACCATGCTGCCGCCCTTCTGCTGGAAGTTGCTGCAGTCGATGTTGACATTTTGCTAATGGAACAAAAAACAGGGCTTAAAACTTCTGGTGCCTGTATTTTCCTACATAAGTGCTCTGTGTTTGTTTAGTATTTGTGATGTGACAAAGCGTGAAAGCGCTTTTCAGGAGCAAGACTCTGTTGTTCCAGTAATTCTGCAGACTCGGAGAATGTGCTTGCCTGGAACAGTCTGGAGTAGGGAGATGGTGGAGGCAAAGAAAATCTAATAAATATTGTTATAAGTAGTGGAATGATCATGCTGGTATTTCCAGGATGGCTCTCTCACTGTCTCCTCTGGTCCAGCAGGCAAGCAGAGACAAGTGGACAGAAAGGGGACGGTCACAAGCCCCAGTGCACCGAGTTCCCCCACCCAGGGAATCACTGCTACTAATAGTGCTTCTGCATCAATGATGTACCATCTCTTGCTCATCCAGTTTCACAGCAAATGAAGGTCTCAGCACCTTCTGCCTGCTGTTCCCAGATCAGAGAGGGGACCAAATATCTCAGCCATGGATTAGGTTCCATACCTGTTGATCCTGGCATAACTATTTTCCTGAAGTCCTATTTCCAGGCCAAATGCACCAGGACAGTGGAGGCATTTCTATTATTCAGCCATGAATTAGTGTTGCAAAATGTAAGAGCAGTTAAGAGTGCAGATTTCTGGCTTTACCTGGAAGCACTCTCCGTAGGTCCTCAGGTTCACATCCAGGCCACTCCTTTGGGGGGAAAGCAAGTGGAGAATGAATGAGCACAGTGCAGCTGCTTCATGAGCCAAACCACCCCTTTATGTTCCAAATACCAAAAAGAGAAATACTGATCCAAAACCCCTGCCCTGCCCTGGGCCCTTCACTTACGCCACAGCAGTACAGAAGTGGCACTTGTTCCTGTAGGTGATGCCATTGGTGCCGCAGATGGGGGAGTACTCCAGGGTGCAGGGGATGTTGTAACCACTGCCAGGCTTCAGGAAACCAGTACAGTCGACCTGAAACAGTCCCAGAGCAGCATTTGAATCCCTGCTCCCCTTTGCAGCAGCCCTGCGTAACGGAGTGTGGTGCAAGAGACATTCCCCCCTCTGCCCAGAGCTGCAAGATGAAAAGGGCTATGAAATCCTGCCTGTGGGTACAGCATCACTATCTGTTCTGAGGAGGGCTTCATCCCCATCATCTTGGGGATTTTCCCCCCTGAATGCCACCATGAAGGATCCTTGCCTAAAATACCTCACACCTTTCAAAAATGGAATTTACACTCAGCTCTCTGCTCCTGCAATTACTCCGAGTGTATTGAAATGGGAGTCATTGTATTATGTGAAATTGCACAGACAGAATGTTTCTTTACTCCCTCTCTCTCTCTAAACTAAAAATAGACACTCTTTGTCACTTCATGGTAGCTCCCTATATTGATACTAACTTTAACTTAACTTTGTGATAAACATTCTGATAGAATCAGGTTTTTTCTGTTACAAAATTATAGTTTAGTTGAAATTCAAACTTCTTCTGGGAATTTCTTAGCCACAACAAGCCTCTGAGTCTAAATGTAAAGGGAAGTGTTTCATAACACAGAATGAAACACTCTTGATATCAATAAGCTTCCTTTCTAAACTCTGTTTTACAGAAGATCTTTTGCCTTTTAAAACTCACTGATTTTAGCAGTCCAAACAAAATGCAAATTAAATTTCCTGCCAATCTGAAATTCTTCATTTTCACCCCATTTCTGAGAGCTAGCAATTGTGTGGGTTCAGTACAGAAGGAATCCTGGTCTATGTTTGTGCCTGGCTGTCACCCAGCAGGGGAAGGAACCAATCTCAGGCCATACCCTAACGCATCTTCCATCGTGTTTCTTGTCAAGGGCACGGTTGCGGCTGGAGGGAGAGAGGGAGAAGAAAAGCAGGGATTAATCTTTTCATGCCATGTTATCATCTCAATCATCAAGTCCCTCCACCCGTAAAGCCCCAGTAATTATTCAGATTCTGGGGCTTTGACACAGAAGATCCCGCGCATTAAGGAAGACTGAAACTTAAGAAAATTCCAGCCCACCCCACGATTAGTCACAACCCCAAGGGCTTCTGCCTGCTGCTTGAGCTGGCGCTGTGGGTGATCAGGGGACTTTCTACTCACAAGAAGTCCTTGCAGAGGGAGCACTCATTGGGGTAGGTGCGGCCATTGGTGCCACACACGGGGTCGTAGTTGCGGGGGCAGACGACGCTCATGGTTTTTCCAGTCGCCATGTAGGAGGCGCAGTTGGCCTGGGAAAGGGGATTCATCAAGTCTCCAAACTGACAGAGGGGGGTCCTTGCCCTAATCCTGGTTTTGCTGCACTGGGAGGCTACTGTGAGGAATCTCTATGGCTCCTCCATGGTGGAAGAAAATTTATATCGAGTTTCTTACAGCATAATGAAAGCACCTCTCTGCTGTTAAGACTTAAAGTAATTTTGGCGAGAATTATGGGCAAAAATGATCATTCCTTGGGGAATCAAGACAGGGAAGATATTAGGCAGATATTCAATAGTCATATAGATTTTCTACTGGCACTCTGTGCTGTGCTGACTCGCATTCTACATTATTAATCGCTGTCTTTTTACTCATCAAAGTGCTAAATTATCTCTCTCTGACAAAGGTGTTTTCTTACGTTGGGAAAAAAGGTGCACTTAGGGGCACTTCTTTCTTATTCATTCTCTCTTTTTTTTTCCCTCAAGCATTCCCTGACATATAGCGTGAGTATGAATTATTCATCTAGACTTAGAAATCAAGACTAAATTACAAAGATCTAATACTCACCCGTCTTTGAGCAACAGCAAGATCTACAATAAAAATAGAAATTACAAAATGTAAAAATTGTATTATGTCCTTCACTAAAATTCCTTTGGAATCGTCAATTTCCCTACAGATCAGCCAAATACACCTTCTCATTACCAAGAAGTGATTATCCTCCCAAATGTTTCATCTACTCCAAGTGCAAAGTGAAACACCGAGATTAAAAAAAAATCACTTATTTGGGAAACCAGAAATTTTGACTCACTAAACAAGAAATAGGGCCTAAAATTTCATCCTTCTTTAGCTCCATAATCCCCACTAAGGCTCAAAAGCTTAAAGCATAGATCCCACGTGTTTGTCTGCACAAGGGTGAAGCTCATTGAAAAGAGAGGCCGCGTCTTCCCAAACCATCCCGTCCCCAAGAGGCTGCGCCATCCTTCAGGATGCACAGAGACAGGGAAAGGATCAGGAGGTCTAGACCAGCATGGGGTGTAGCAAAAATGACAGAAATTACTTACCAGAAAAGCAGGCAAGGAGGACCAGCCCCAAAAGGGCAGCACAGTTGGCCATCTTCATGCTGGCGGCGGTGGTGGCGGCTGTTCCGTGTGGGTCGGTTGCCGGAGAGTCCGTGGATGGTTCTCAGCCCTCTCCCTCCCCAGTATTTATATGCATCTCCCCGACCTTGTGAAGTCATCACCAGAAAGTAATTATTTGCTCTGTAAACTAAGAAAATTGTATCGATTACCGAGTTGAGCTCCAAAGAATACTTGTTTGTTAGAGAGATGCCCAGAAGAATTAAACAAAAATGCGAGCTACACCCAGCTTGTTAACAAAGGCGTCTTGCTGTACAATGAGTGATTTGTACTTTCCAAACAGGAGCACTGTCTCAATAGCGGATGTTATGAAATGGAATATGGAAGTTGGGGAAGGGAAAAAAGAGCCCATTTGTTGGAAGTGTTTGACTTGTGCTCACCATATCACATATGCTAGACAGGCACTGGGCTCTGGGAGACTTTCATGGTACAGCAGAGTGGGGTGACAGGAGCATGGGACATTTTACTGACATCATATCTGGGGTCTGGCAAGCATCAGTGCACTGTAAAGATGTTGAAGTCTCAGCATCTTTAAATCCCTCCACACTCTCTCCTGTAATTTCCTGGTACACTGGATTTCTCACCCACAGAAAGTCATCACGAGATAAAAGCATTACAAAAACCCCAGAAGTTTATTAGACATTTCTGTGTAGGAGCAAGAGTTATTCATCTGTTGGCAATGAGCACGAGTCTGATTAAGAAATTATGAGAATAAGTAGCCTTAAATCTGTACTGGGATAATGTTTCTTATTAATGGCAAGCAACTGGTATTCTGTGCAGGTGAAATGGGCTTGTTAATACCAAAGGCATTCCAGAAAAAATTCCAGTAACTGCAAACAGAAGGAGAGCCGTTAGGCTTCCCCCTTCTCCCTCAATTATATGGCATTAAATTTAGAGTGTCAGCTGAGAGTTGTGTTTTAGGGAAGATAAGTGATAAATAATGTGCTAGGCTCTGCTAAGTGGCTCGACTCTATCACAAGTGTATGGAAAAACAAATAGGGGATATTGCATAAAATAATAAATTTTTGATTTAAGGTAGTCACGGAAGGAAGTGACGGATGGAACTTGTTTGTGCTTCAGAAGAAGCCTAATTCATACATGTGGCTTAAAGGCAGCCTGAGTTTTAAATAGAAAATCAGAATTGGTTTTCTTATTATCCTGGGAGATGTTCAACACTTGGCATGAGCAGATAAATCATAAAAATGTAGCTGAAAGTGTAAGGGAACCATAGTCAGAGAATGGAGCTTGTGGGATTTGCCCTGTTTATATCAATGAAATCATTTTCCTGAAAAATAAATGAATAATGCTATTTGGATCTCTTTCACAAATATCACAAGTTGAAGGGTTCCTTTGAAAGTTGTTTCTGTCGCATTCTTAGCATCCTGAGCGTGTTGACTTTCAGATTCCTTGAACTGATTGTGAGCACATTTGGAAAGGAAGCCGTAGTCACGGAAGCATTAATATTGATTAATCTCCAGGGGCAGGAATGCCAAAGTCTGAAAACAAAGCTTCCTCAGAGCCTGCACCAGCCCCCGGTGGAGGTGCTGCTTGCCAGCCCCGTGGCTGGGGGGGCTCCAGGAGCAGAATCTGTCTCCTCTTCAGCCCTGCCACCCAAACTCCCCCATACCCACCTCCAGATCCGAGGTCCCCATTAGCAGAACTGTGCTGCTTCTCCTGCTGTGTTTCCTGCCAGGCTGGAGCCAGCAGGAGCTGTTGTGCCTGGCAGGTGTCGGCCGGGGAGCGGCACCGCTCTCATGTTGAGCCAGCACCTGCCCTTTCATTAGCCAGATCCCCTGGGAAATCCGCTCTGCCCCACGTGCTGCCCCGAGGGTCTTGGTGCCCATCCAAAAAGCTCTTCTCCTCCAGCAGCCCCTGCCACTTCCCAGGGCAGCTGGGAGGAAAGGAGAAACGAGGAGAGAGCCTTGCTACAGGGTCTGGGAGAAGGGATGGGAGACAAAGGGCAGCATGCAGGGCAGGGCAGGAGAGCTGCTGGGACAGGTGTGACAGGGGATTGCACAAGGAGCAGCAGGAAACAGAGGGAATGGGGCAGCAGTAATCGCAGGAGAGCAGATGGACTGGAAGCAGGCATTAGGAGCAGTGAAAAACAGCAGTGGTCACAACGGTGAGCCTTGGGAAATGTCCTACACCTGTTGCAAATGGGAAGGGCAAAGTGAGCCCACCTGCCCAAAGCCCTGGGATGTGAGTGATGGTGCCAGACTGTTCTCAGTGGTGCCCAGTGACAGGACAAGGAGCAGTGCCCATAACCTAAAACCAAAGTTCCACCTCGACATGAGGAGAAAATTCTTTCCATTGAGAGCTGCAGAGCACTGGAGCAGCTGCCCAGGGAGGTGGTGGAGTCTCCCTGGAGTCATCCCAAACCCACTTGGCCATGCTCCTGTGTCACCTGCTCCAGGTGCCCCTGCTTTGGCAGGGGGTTTGGGCTGGAGGATCTCCAGAGGTCACTTCCAACCCAAACTATCCTGTGATTCTGAGGCTCAGAAATACCATGATGGAGGGCTCAGTAAAGTGACTTTGGGATTATTTTAATGTTACTACAGACACGAGATCCATATAGAAGGTTAAATAAAACTCTTAAATAAAATGCTTCCTTCTATTCCAGACCCCTAGCGGGCAAACATTCAGGAAGGTTATGGCCACATGAATGGGATCAATGTTGGCCATCATGTGAGAAGTCCTCTTGTATATAAGGTACATTTCCAGTAACTCTGGGTTTCTAATCCAGCAGCATTTCTTCCCACAGCAGTGATAATCTCCTGGGAAGCTTTTTCTCTGATCTTGAGACTTCCTACCTCAAGTAAGTCCATAACCTACCACAACCTAAAAAATTCTTCACTGATGATGCTCCCTGCTTTGGTTTAAAACTTGCCATAGTCTTCATCTGGCTACAAAGAGCAACAACAGGGGTTTTTTTCATTATTATTGTTATTATCAAACACGAGGGTGGGTGTGTGCGCGCAGGATTTGCTGCCATGCCAGCAGCAGCATCCCTGTGCTCGCTCCGCTCCGCAGCAGTCACGGACAGCGAGAACAAAGCGGCTGCAGCCCGGGCAGGAGCAGGAGCTCCCTGGGCTCCAGGCATGGGGAACAACCGCAGGAGATCCCGGCCGAGCTGCTGTTCCCCCACCTCTGCACACGGGGGCAGAGCTGCATCTTCTATGAGAGCAGAAATTCAATTTACAGCCCGCAAAGCCCCTGCTCTAAGCCGCACTCACCTATTATTCCTCCTTGTAGTTCAGCCATCTGATTGCTGCCTGAATATCCCCAGTCTTTTAAGCATAGATGATATCACAGGCAAGGGTGTCTGGAATTATTTGACTGTCTGGAAAGCTGCATGCTAAGAGCTTAAGGCTGAGGATCCCAATCCCTCAGTGAATCTCAGCTCTGCCTCGCTGCAATAGCTCTGACACAGCCAGCCCCCCAAAACACCCGCAATTAATTCACTTTTCAAACATAATTTTGTTTTTCTCCACATCAAGTAAAAATGCAGTAATAAACCATTTCTCCTGACAGAAGCCACAGAGAGAAACTGCATTAACAGAAAGGTCTAGACTGGCCTGAGGTATATTTTGGCCAGCAACAAGTCCAACAATGCACAAAAATAGAAGAAATTATATAAAATAAAGCAGAACAAAATAAGTACATGCAATGTGTTAATCAGGTTGTGGGGTAATTGAATGGCATTTCCTGAATCCAAAACATCAGATAATAACATAAAGTGCTGAGGTACTGCTCAAAGAATTGTACCATAAAATACCTTGGCAGGCAGACAATGTTTCCTGCCTTGAATTTCCTGGAGGGAGAGTTAGATTAGTAATGGTGAGAGGATTTGTGCTGTTGTGGCAGGATTTTATTGAGAAGCAATAAAAAAAATTATTTCCAACGAGGCGCTCATAAAGGAGAATTCTCTTCCTCTCCATCTTAAGGAGCATCCAGGATGAGCTGCTGGGGCAGGAGGCCGGGGCTGCGCTGGGGTCCTGCTCTGTCCCTGGTCACTCCTGAGCAGTCCCAGAGGATTTATCATTTCTACTCACAGAAACTGCCCTTAATTGCCTGCTGGATTTTCCTGTTTGGCAGACATGCCCCTGCAAGAGGCCCTCAGAGCATCACAGGGATCTCCAGCACGATCGGGAGCTCTGCTGTCTCCAAGGCATCGCGGCTCCTCGGGGCCATCCTCATCCTCCCTGCTGCTGCCCGAGGAAAAAATAACTGCTGCAGCTGCTGCTCTCCTACCCTGACTCCCACGCTCTGCAGAGGGGGAGAAGAAGGAGCCTGAATGTGCCCCACACCCCCAGCACCACCTCCCAGAGCCTCAATTTATCCTGGTCCCCAGAAATCGCATCTGACGCTGAAAAGCCTTCCTGCACACAGACAGGAGGGACATTCCAGCCCCAGGAAGGGACTTGGCACTAAATGGTTGCAGAGAATCATGTCTTTTGGAAATAAATTGTCTCCTTTTAGAGAGCTGCTCTCTGCAGTCTCTGGGAAGTGACACATTGTCACTTAAGATCATTAACTATTTGACTGTGAGGCTGCTGCCTCTGCAGCACGCGGCACTGGCAGCGCCTGGCTGTTAATGAATAATAAATTAACACCACGACTCTGAGCCCTTCCTTTCATCAGCCGAGGCTTCCAGAGGCCGGAGAATCTCAAAGGATCCTCCACAAGCGACAGTCAAGGTAATTACCTTCAACCAGCACTAAGTGATGGGTGAGGTGCCCAGATGGGCTCGGTGGTTGGCAGCTGGACAGCAGCTCTGTTAGCTCTGGCTGCCCACGGGTGCTCTGCAGTGCCCCTCAGCAATGAACCAGCGTGGGCAGCCCAGAGAAAACTCCCTGTGGCATTGCTCTGGGGAGCAGAGCACATTGCAAAAGGCTTTCTCTCAGCTACAGGTGGGTTTTCAATCCTGCTCGGGAGGTGGAGGCAGCTTGGAAATGTGACCTTCCTCACATGTTCTCCTGCAGGTGTAAGAAATTTGGGATAACCCTGGGAACTGAAACAGGGGTGAGCAGCTCACTGTGCCAGCAGGACCCCTTCTGTATGGCAGAACAGTGCCAGAACACCCCAATTACAAGTCTTGCTGCTGTCTCTAATCATGTTAATGTTTAGGTTTGCCCGGGGCCTCCTGGTGCTGCCAGGCTACAGAGAGTGAGGCTGGGTGAGGCTGCAGGTGTTTGACAGCAGCAGCTCCTCTCAGCCAGGCTCCTCTCAGGCTCTGTCACATTCCCTCAGAGCAGGAAAAGGACAGGAGCACCAGGATGCATCCCCAGCCTGGCTTTTCTTCTGGAAAGCTGGATAAAGGCAGATGCCCACCAAAGCTGCCCATTGCCTTTGCCGTTGGGGTTGATGTTTTTGTGGATCAGAACACCCTTCTCCCTCTCCCCTGTAATTTGCCCATTAATTCCCACACGCCAGGGTTGTTGCAGTGGTATAATCATGCAACCTGCTAGGTAAAGCCAGAATGAGACTGAAGGACAACATAAATGCTGGGTCTTTTTTTTATTGTCAGAGGTTTCAGGGTTGATAAGAGGTTTTCAAGGGTCAGGGGTTTAGGAAGTCATCTGCCATGGGGAACATTGTCAGGGAGGGATGCTCTTTCTCAGTTGAATCCTGTCAAGAACTTAACAGGCTTCAAGAGACCTCAAGGCAAGAACTCCACGGCTTCTCCTGCAGAGAAAAAAATGAGCAAGAAATCAGTACCTCAGAGACAGAACATCTGGGCTTTTACTGCTGGTCTGTCCCTCTGCACCACAAAAGGACTTCCAAACTCCATTCCACATATTTCCTTTTATTATTGACATATAAAGACAAGAAAAGTTCTTAATTTAAAAGACCAAATGGTCTGTAAGAAACACACTTTGCTGAGAGAAAACTCTTTTGCAAATCACTTAAGAGGAAAATGTAAAACACAATGTTGTCTCTTTATATCTGAAACAAAGGAGTTCCTAGCAAACTCTCCAAAAAAAAAAAAAAAAAGAAATTAAAAATTATCCTTACTGGTGAGAGGAAAACAAATGAAACAAAAGCACTTTACTTCTCCAGCCAGTGTCCAAAACTGATTGGCCAGTTTAAGCTAAGTTAATTCAGCACTGAGTAGGTGAAGGGATTTATTCCATACGTACAGGTAGGCATTGCAGAACGTGCATTTGTTGGGGTAGGTGACACCATCAGACCCACAGTGGGGGACATACTCCATGGTGCACATGTTCCTGATGGTCCTCTGGTTCCTGCAGTAGACAGGTGCAGCCTGTATTCACAGGAAAAAAAACCAAAAAAAGAGCTCTTAAGCAAAGCTGGGTGAGAAAATTGGCATCAGGAGGCCCCACACACCCCTTGAGCTGCCCCCTTTGCTGCCCAGATGCTGAGGAAAAGCCCAGGGATGGGGCAGGATGCAGAGGAGTGCTGCCTCCAGCCATGCAGAGCCTGGGAAACCACTGCAAACGAGGCTGCAGTAACTTTGACAACAACCTGGACATGAGCTGAGTGCTGCCCTACTTGTTGAAGCTATCAGCAGATGAAAATGGCAATTTCACCCGATAATATCTGTGGCAAATATTGCTCAGGCAGCTGGGTGTCTCAGGATTTTGAAAGGCTCCATCATGATGTGATTAGTAAAGATTTATACAGAAACTGCTTTAAGGAAAGAAAGTATGGAGAATAGAAAAATCTGTCCCTTACCTGCAGCGCATCAGTAGCTGGAACTAAAAAAAAAAAAAAGAAGAACAAATGAAATATGTTACAAATGTAATTCATAGATTCTGTTAAAATCTGAGAATGCATGCCCTGAATACATATCTTCCAACTCCCTGTGTGCTAGCAAATTATTCTTAGACAAAAGGAATTTCAGGCACAATGTTGTGCCATACTGTATGTTGATTCTGTAGTATTTTTATTTAATGAGGGTTACAGTCAAAATGGAAAAAGCTGTGTAAAATAAAAGAAGAGAAAGGCATTTTCTATGGTTCAAAGGATGGAACAGGACATGAACTCAAAGCAAAGCAAATTATTGAGGTAAAGAGGGACATAAAGCTGACAAGTACACAGAGGCATCTTATATGCATTGCCAATATTATTTTAAAATAAGAATAGTATTTAGTGAGAGGTGAATTTATAAAGCTCCTACAGCAATTCAGGCTCTCAAACTACACCTCGGTTCAGGATGACTGCAAGAAATGTTCACTTTCATTCAGTAGAATTATTTGTGTTTCTGCAAGATTTCAGAGGTTAAGTACTGGTTGTCTGAGTCTCCGGGTTGCACCACGTTCGTGTCACTTCTTTCATTATGCATAAACTAGCACTGAGAGTAGAGCTGTTCCCACAGTTGTTCTTACCCACTCAGTTCTGTTGCTAAAATATTACCCCATAAGTGATAGTCTCTGATGTCAAGTCTTTTCAACACTATCTTTCTAGGAGTAAATAAGTCCTTGCAGAACGGAGCTCTTTCCAGTCTGAGGATGTTTTTTTCTGTGGTTTTGAAGACAGCCAGCGCTTACTCCAAAGCACAGCCACTCACCTGAGATGCAGAAAAGGGCCAGAGAGAGCAGAAGCAGCGCTCCCGTGATCTTCATGGTGGCTGGATGAGCTGCGAGCAGCAGAGCTTGGCTTTTGCTCAGGAAACACCACCTGGGTTCTGTCCTCAGGTGCCAACCACGCTTATATGTATGCCTGCACCTCTGGGGGGGCGTGTGTGTTTGTGCATGTTCATATTTGCCTTATCCACCCTTATCCTGGGGCAACACTTGCAGCCTTTTGTCTCAGTGGTAATATCAGTGGAGGTAAGCTGTGCTGGAAGCCAAGAGTGGTGTTTCTTCATCAACGGGAGTCACGGGGAGTTTAGATGTGTGAGATACACACTCTGAGTCCTTATTTTAAGTGAAATATGTGACAGTTTCCTCCTGAAGGACCACAGAAAATTCCTGCAGGCAAAAGAGCCAGTGTATAAAGTGCTGTCAGGTTTTCTGTGTGTTCACCTATCACTGCTTATTTTTGTGCAGTGCTTTTTCACGAGAAAAACATTGAATGAAATGCTTCCATAGCAGAAAGGCTCTCCTTTTATTTTTGTGCTTCCCAAGTAAAACATCACTAAGTTATAGTGAAAGCAGGAAAACAATGAACCAGGAAGGCAAGCAAGAGGGCATCCCAGACACTGAAAGGAGTCCTGGAAAATGACAAGGGATGGAGAAACTTTCATGGGACTACGCAAAAAAAAATTTACAATTGTTATTTCCCCTAAAAGCCATTAGCTTTGCAGTAATAGACTTTTAGTATGATGATGACATGATGACAGAATGATTTGGGACCCTAGCATGGATCCTAGGAAAGCTGAGCCCAATCTGGAAATCACTGCTTCATCCATCTGCCCATCTCTACATAAATCCTTTGTTTTACCACCAAAGCATTGCTTTTTGGGACAACCTCCATCAAGGAGAACAAGCACCCCTCTCCCTTTGACTCCCAGAAGAAATGCATGTGGGAGATATTACATTTTAGAAGGGATAAGCCCAATTTATTTATGACTCTCTTGTGTGGATTTAAAAAAAACCCAAACCCCAATTCAATACTCAAACAGAAGACAAAAGCAAAATAAATTTCAAGCACAATACGCCAATGACAGGTCACACTCTCAAGAAACAGAAGGATGCTTTGTCCTTGGATTTTGAAACACTGCTGAAATACTCCTTGGGCTGGCACAGAACATTGTGTAATTGAAGACTGAGAGAAGACAAGTAGGCAGGAGTAGGCACCACACCTAGGAAGGCATTAATCTCAAAACTTGAAAGGTTTTAAAGGACGACTCCAGGATGAGAAAAATCTGGTAATAAGTCATCTGGAGGACTTGGACAAATAGACAGGGACAATGCAGGTGTCTGAACAATGTGGGCTTTGCCAGCAGGGTGCCCTTGAGAGAGCAGCACTTGAGGGGAGCACAGAGCCAGGGCTCAGCTCTGGGCAGGGACACCAAGGTGGGACCGGGCTTTGCTGACAGGGAAAACGCACCAGGAGCACCTGAGGAGGGACCCTCCTGTGCCACCCCTTCAGCCCTGCCCAACGTCAAACATTAAAGGGTCTGAGCACTAATGCAGGGACATCGTTGTCATTATGTGCAAAGACACACAGCTCCGGGGTTGGAGCATCTGTATTTAATTTTTTGTCTTTTATGAGAGGGAGGGGAGGAAGATTATGTTCTTGTTCTATCCCAGAGCTTTGAGCACGAAACCTATTCTGCCCAGTATCATCATCCGACAAATCAAGGCAATGTTTCATGAGACAACACATGAAAGAAGACAGGGAAATGTTGCTGATTTAGTTTATTGGGAAAGAAAATCAGGAGTGAGCTGAGTTCCCCAGAAGGTGAGATGGACTGAGGTCAGATCTTTATCTGGGATTTTCCAGTGGGGATCCTGTGGTGAATTCTCTTGGCACTATACTCAGCATTTTCCAAAATGGCTCAAAGAGATAGTCCCATTGCTGTCCCTGAAAGTAAGGAGAGGAAAGAATGAATTAAACACAGATTCCTGCCTGCTATAATCTGTCTTTTTGATGGCTCCTAGAGATGGTGTCAGATGGGATCCTGCCCCAGAGCCAAGGAACTTGCAGACTCCCATTTGCTATTTGATTATTAAGACATGAGTGAAACAATTTAACCCATTCTTAAGACTGAAAATATCTGTGGGGAAACTACAGTGGAATTTCAAAAGGAAAGGAATTTCATTTCCTTTGCAGCATGCAAGAAAAATTCCATTTAGGTTAAATGCTCTTCAAACCATTCACACTGACAAAGCAGCCGTAGCATTTTTTATGCTCTAATGAAAAAAATAAATGAACGCTTGACACGGTGGCTGGCATTCCCTCCTGCCCCAAATCCCTAATGAACAGTATCCAGCAAACAAAGAAAGCAGTAACTGTGCAAACTTGTGCCCACAGGAGGCAACTGATAAAACAGACATCACTGATATTTGTACATACACAACTGCGTTGCAGAAGATACACTTATTGTTGTATGTAGTGTTGTCAGAGCCACAGAGAGGCATGTAGTCCAGTGAGCAGACAGGTTTTGGGTAGTCACTGCAGTCAACCTGTGAAAAATAAATAAAAATAAAAGAGTCTGATGTGGAGGAGTCAGTAGCACAAGGGCTTGAACCCTGAGCTAGAGCTGCAGTGCTAGTGATACCAATCTCACCAAACGTAATTAACTTCCTTGCACATCTGATGTAAAATGAGGTGTCAGTTTCTCCCATGCCAGGAGAATTTAATAATATAAAAATAGATCATAATTTCCTGTTTGAAGAGATGTATATCATAACCTGGTCATGGCATTTCCAAGCAGCAGCAGTTCACTCGGTGAAGGTGCTGTGCTCTGTGTTCCCAAGCTGGCCAGGAAATTAAATGGAAAAACACTGGTGTCTGGAGAAATGGAGTGCTGATCCTCTATAAAGGTCCACTATCCCTCCTGGAGTCTTAAAACTGGAAGATCAGCACGTGGCTGGATACTGCAAGAGTGGGATTCTGTTTCCTGGAGCAATGGTGCTACACTTGCTGAGGAGAATTGTAGGGATAAAAATGTGTCTGGGTGCAGGAAGAGGCTGAGGGATTTCATAGAGGAGAAATCTATCAAGGCTTAGTGACTGCACTAGGCTTAGGCTCTGCACCATGTTGCCAGGGGCTAGATGGAGCATTGGTCTGACCCCAAAAGCCATTCTCTCTTCCTATTCACAGTTCTGCCCTGATGGATTATTTCTACTACGCTTTTACTCATCCCTTCCTGAGCAGTCACCTGCTCCTTTCCTGGCATTCACACAAATAACATTTATTGCATGTAGAGAAAGCAAAACCTCTCCCCTTCTGCAGCACAGCAGCTGTTTCACTTCTGCTGGTCTGGGGGCTGCTGCAGACACTGGCACTGCTTCCCCTGACAGCAGCAGCACCAAAACCCAGCCCCTGATCACCCAAATCACTTACTGCGACAATTTCCTTCTTACATTCACCGTCAGCCTTCTTGCCAATGCTGGTTCCAGCCTCCCTGGGAAGGGAAGAGACCTGCATTAGGGAGCCCTGCAAGCAGCCTGTCCTGCTGAGCCCCATCACCCAGCAATGCTGAGCAGCCCCAGGCACAAGGATGGGATACAGGAGGCACCAGCTGAGGTTGTGTCCATGTGGCTCCCAGGACCAGCTCAGGTGGTGTCACTGCCTGCCAGGGAGCTGGTTTGCAGCAAGATGTGAGGGACAGGGGTCATGGTGGACGAGGAGGCAGGCTGTGTGACAATGTCAGTGCCCCCTGGGTGAGTTGTTGTCCTCTGCAAGGCGGCACCTGCCACACGGACCCTTTTGACTTGGTTAAGAGCAGCATCCTGTCCTGTGTGAGATCCCCACCCAGCCCTCCCCTTCTCTGCCTACACCAAAGGCATGGCTCTCCTTCTAATGACACAGGACAGCAAGGTTTAGTCAGGAGGAAAAGAGGTGGTCTTGTTAGAAGTCCTGCTGTCCAAAAGAGCAGTTGCAGGAGCAGCAGCCCCAGGCCCTGTGCTCAGCACTCACAGGCTCCGGGCGCAGAGCAGGCACTCGTTGTCGTAGGTGACCCAGTCGGTGCCGCAGACGGGGCTGATGTCTTTGCTGCAGATCAGCCCCACTTTGCCCTCCTCACTGGTTGAGTTGGGGTACCTGCTGCAATCCACCTGGGGAGGGAACAAACAAAGCCCTGGTGAAGGCCTTGCTGACAGCACACAAGGGGATCGGGTGTGTCTGCCTGGCCACACAGGACAGCACCACAGCGGGAGAAAAGCTTTTCTGTCAGTCTCAGTGATGACACTTGGAGGTGACCACTGCAAGATTGTGGCAGCTCATCTGTGTTCTTGTTTAGGGTTTGAATTATTTCAATAAGCACCTTTGGCCACTCAGAAGCAGGACACACTCCTTGTTTTGCCCTTGGTTTTACTTACAGGGGCAACTTCCTTGCACTCTCCGTCGTGGTCTTTGCTGACATTGGTTCCATATTCTCTGCAGGGGAGAAAGACAAATGTTAGGAAGTTCAGCAAAGATGTCTTGCAACATTCTAGGTGCTAAAATCAATACAAGGGAAAACTGACTTTCTCAGTCAGGCTTTTTTTATATCTGTATTTGAGAAGGTAGAGCCACCCTCCCTCATCAGCTGAGTAGCTGGCAGGGATGTAAAACCCCGGGAAGCTTTGGGGCCATTTTGGGCAGCCCTGAGCAGAGCATCTCTATCCTCTTGCTGTGATGAGATGTGCTCTCAGAGCCATCACCTGGCCACTCCTTGAGACAGAGAAGAAAAAACCTGAATAAATTACAGAAGCAAAAGAAAGACACGGTGGCTAAAGCTCTGCCTGAGCGCTGTGCCGTGATAGCCAAGCTCATTTTGGAGGAATTGACACGGGCGATGTGTGACAGATTGGTGAGCTGTGGTGCTGCCAGGAGCCCTGAGCCGTGCTGCCTGGGGTCCCCAAGCTGTCCCCAAGTGTCCCCAAGCAGAACATACACGTTGTAGGCGCAGAGCAGGCACTCGTTGCCGTAGGTGACGCCGTCGGAGCCGCAGATGGGGCTGACGGCCTCGCTGCACACCAGCACCTCTTTGCCCTCCTCGTTTGTGGTGTTGGGATAGGTACTGCAGTCCACCTGCCACAGCAATCACAGCAACGGGGTGAGAAAACCTGAGACGTTCACAGCTCTCATTGTGTGTGGGACACTGGGCTGGTACAACCAGTCCTCACTGCCACAGCACAAACTTCTGCTGTGGGTGCCTCGGGAGAATCCATCCTGCAGAGACATTCCCACAGAGCAGGAGAAGAGGAGGAGGAGGGAAGAGCTATAACCATGAAGCCCCTAGGATGGGACAAACCAGTGCTGGTCTCTCACGCTCACTTGACATGATTTTATAAAGGCTCTCCATTGGTCTCTAGTTCTTGTATTCTTGTGGCCCCTCCACTGCACCTCTGGTTTTATTTTTTCATTCTTAATACACTAATCATATTTTTTTTCAGAAGACCAAGACCTGTGAGGAAGCTGGGTCAGCTCAGAGTATTTTAGTATTTCAGTAGGTTGCCCTCAGGTAGGTTCTGATGCTAGCCTATTGCCTTAATTTAGAACCAGCTATATATTTACAGCTTAAAGCTTAGACCAGTCTAAAGTTGCTGAAAAATTAATTAATCCAAAAATATTGTATCATTACTACTAAAACATTATTAACATACAGCATAGATGTACAGCCCAGGGCAGTATAATTTCATGTTTTACCCTGTAGGATCTGATTACAGTGACCCGAGTGTGACACTTGGGTGAAAAACAGCTGAGCATTTACAGGCTGGACGTTTTTCCCATTCCTTTGGTTATACCTTTATCAGGCCACATACTTGAGAAAGGTGACAGAAAAAAATCTTCCACTTACCTCAATCCCAAAGACAGTATCTGGAAAAGAAAAGAGAGGCAGAAAGTATGAACAAAAGCCAATGTGATAAGACCTCAATTAAAGCTGGAAATATGGATATAAAATTCCTGTGTGCAGGACCAAGCCAAATGATTTCTAGTGATTGTTTTTTGAACTAAATAAACTATGTATGATTTTTTTCCTCTATGTTGATAAGCATAATAGCATTGCTTATTGCTGGCTATGATGAAACACCTTTTTGAATAGCTTTGTTCTTTTTTTGTTCTGAGACATGTAGATTTATTAATTGAAAACAGAACAGCTTTTCCTTCCTTATCTTTTTACATATCCGCTTTGACCCTAAAGCGCTGCTGTTATGTATCTGGAAATACACCTGAATCAACAGAGACACATGCAAATAGTCACCTACAGGATAAGCAAATACATACAGCATCTGTTGACAGAAATATGCATTTGAAAGAAGGTGAGAGTGAAAAAAATGTCTTTGGCTTTGTAATTTCATCAGTTGTGAATATGCAGTGAGAACATCAGAGTCTGGCTTGTTTTCATCTCTTGCTGTTCCATTAGCAGAAAGAGCATTGCAGGAAATTTGCCAGGGCCTTGCAGAGAACTTGCTTGCACCATTACAATATTTTCCTTACTAGTTACCAGAGGTCTGACCCCCTTCTCACGGCCTTATTTCAAGTATTCATCCATTTGCTGTAATTGTACAAGCCTAAGCAGTGTAATGGTGTGAGAACATCAGTGCACAAAGTGTAACAGCACGAGTTGCCAGCACAGAACTCCATTGCTGTTATATTTATGACAAACCATCAGCTACAGCAGCAAGCCACTGAGGACTATCCTGAAAAACACTCCTGCAACCTGCACGATGGCAACCGAGGCAGCGGAGCCCTCTGAAGGAGATTTCCTCTCTTTGAATCCTCTGCCTCATCCCTTTGAAGGCAGCCAGGACTCAGACCCTGGAGAGCCACTCACCTGGGGCGCAGCAAAGCGCGAAGGAGAGGAGCACCAGAATTCCTGCCCTGGTCATGCTGGAGGTGCTGGAGTCTGCAGGCTGCTGCTCCCACTCTGCTCAGAGATGGTCCCTGCAGGGCTGCCTGCAAATATATACAAATGCAATGTCTAAACTGTTCAACTGTAACATAAAACAACCTGCAGAATCTGTCAGCAGCACAATGAGGCCGGGAATATTTATGGAGGTCTTGACTTTTCGGGTAATGGTCTGAGCCTGCCAGGCAATTGATTTTGGCTGGACACCTGGTTAATAGATCAAGACAAGTATCACAAGTTCTGAGTGGTCAAAAGAAAAAGAACAGCCTTTGGGACAAAAGGAACCTCTTTGGGATTCTGGTGGAAATGCAAGGAGCACAAGATATTGAGGGGAATAAAGAGCAGGCCACTGATTTGTCTCTTGTAGAGCAACATCTCCCATCAGGGAGCAGCTTCTGCAGTACCACCCTGTCTGCAGACCAGGCTGAGTCTCTGCTTTCCTTTCTGCTTTTGGGTGGGTTTTTCTCCCCAAATTCCCAAATAATCACCTGTAGGTACAAACACAGCTCAGGTGTGGCTTTGCCATCAACAGCACCAGTTAAGCTTCGTCAGGCAGATCTGGCAGGACCGTGTCCAACCTGTGAATCCAAAGGTTTTAAGCACCAGTTTGAGTAAAGCCAAGGCTTCATGACAGTTTCACTCCCTGGGTATCGAAGAGCTCAGTAGAAGACTTGAAAGCAGGTTAAAAATCTGTCAAATGCCACTAAAAATGTCACTTGAACCTTAGCAACAGGGAGCACTTATTTACAGACCCAGTCCCAGTTAAACACAAGGATTCAGGGTGTTCTGCCAAGCCAGCTGAAGAACAAAAGACACTGAGGATTTGGAACCTATTTACATTGCACCAGCTATACCTGAAAGTACAGTAGGTCCTTTCCTCTTGCAGATATTTTAGAAGATGATACTTAAAATATAGAATCTGTCCCCATTTCCCTGTCTGTCTCACACCGCCAGCCTTTGTGTCATCTCCAAATTGCTCCTGCCTAGGAGCAGGTCTGCACCTCTGCTGGTTTAGTAGCTGTAATTTTGCAGGAGTGGGTTCTGCCTGTAACCTGTTCCTCATCCCTTTCACAGGTTCAAAGTGGCAAGGACACTTGGGGTTTTTGGGGGGTCACTGGAGCTAAGCATTGTGCTTAGGGTAGACTTCAGAATTTTGGGAGGTGCAGAGCAAATGGTGCTTTACAGGTGCTGCCTTTAATGAACCAGGCACCGCCCATAAGACAAATGAAATTCATCTGAAATCATTGAAATTCACCCCAAGCAAATGTGTTGTTGTCTGATCCACCACAGTAGTCTAAAGGGTATATTTTGACCCTTACCTGGATATATTGGATGTTGCATGGAATCACCTCTCCTGGCACACCCAGAAGGCCACAGCATGTCTGTGTGGATATGCAGGTCACATTTTCACATCCAAGAGATGAGATTCTTCACAGGCAGAAGCATCGAAATAATTATGCTGCTGTGATTGTTTCTATAAATTACAGGGAGCATGCATGAATATTTCAGACAGATTTGGCACATCTTCAGGATATATTGGCCCGATGTGCCTTGTGAGCAGCATCTCTGGAAGCCAAACTCTTTTCCCTGAGCATGTGCAGGAGTTACTGAAGCTGCTCCCTGCATGTCACAGTTGCTGATTTTTCCTGTGCAGAGTTGGAGGGGGCTACATCCCTCTGGGTTAAATATGGAATTTGCCGCTCCCTCATCCAACCAAGACCTCTCCAAACGATCCTCACCAGCCTTCACAGCCCCAGCCCTGGACAGTGCTGTCCTTTGGGCAAGACCAACCTCTCCTGATGAGTGGAGAGCATTTTCCTGCCAAAGTCTGGCACATGTTACACCACTGAAAAATTTTCCAATTCAACTCCTGGTTCAGCTCTAGGTCTGGCACTGGCCTCAAGCAACTCAGATTTTCTCTGACCACCACAATGCCTGGATGGGATGTCCAGCAGATGCCTTATTTCACTCTCTCACCTACAGACACTTCAGGGAGACTCAAATCTGCAACAATTAAATGGTGACTGGGGAGCACCTGAGCCCCACAGGTACCCCCTAGGCAAGCCACAAAAGGGACACCCAGAAATCCCCACGTTCAGGCACTTGCGCAGCCTGCAGCCATTCAGCATCCACAGCCTCCCCACCCAGGGTTACAGCTCCAGATTATCCCACCTCTGGTAACAGCATGGAAAAACCCCACAGCTGGCTGAGCTCCTGCTGCAGGGCAGGTCTCTCAGGCCTTAGCTGCTCCTGGAAGAACAGTTAGAAAGAGGATTTGGTCTGCAATCCGGCCACTGATCTGCTGTAATCCACTTCATTATGGCCCTCTAATCCTCAAAGTCAGATGCAGCATATGGCTAATGACCATTTGGCTGAAGGAAAATCCTCTGCGTGCAGCAGCCAGCACCAGGGCAGACATCCTACAAGAGAGCTGGAGATGGACTCTGGACAAGAGCATGGAGTGAGAGGACAAGGGGGAATGGAAAGGCTTTAAGCAGAAAGAGGGAAGGCTTAGATTGAGTATTAGGGAGAAATTCTTTAGTGGGAAGTCCTGGCACAGGGTGCCCAGAGCAGCTGTGGCTGCCCCATCCCTGGAAGGGTCCAAGGCCAGGCTGGACAGGGATTGGAGCAGCCTGGGACAGTGGAAAATGTCCCTGTCTATGGCAGAGGGGCTGGATAAAAATTATCTTTAAGCTCTCTTCCAACCCAAAAATTCTAGGATCCTGTATTCTGCAGGTAAGCAAAGGCAGTGCCACACCTCAGGGTGCTGCCTGTTATGGTCCTGAGCACATAAGGTCTGTGTATAATGGCCAAATCCCACCAGGGCAGAGTTTGGCCATTATACAGCATCCTCTCTACTTACTCATGTAATTTCTTGTTTTACATTTCCCATTACAGTTTTTTTTCAGTATCGATTTCCTGTTCTCTGAAAAAATCAAAACTGAGGTTGAAGAATTTTCTTAGCAGATATGCAACTCCTCAGCATAAATAACATATTGATAAATTAATGGCAAATCATTTAATACACTTTTCTAAACACTCCCGGGGTTTGACACATTATTTAATTAACAAATACCTGCTGTAAAGGTGAGAAATACCGATTGGTTGCAACTCTTCCATGAAAATGCCTCTAATCACTCCAAAATGCCTGCTAAACACAATTCAGGCTACAGTTTTCATCTCTGGCTTTCTTTTGCCCACAGTGTGGCCAATAACTGTTTGCACTGAGCCACATGCCTGGAGAAACGAACGCAGCACAAATGGAAGCTCTGCCTCTCACCCAGTGCTTGAAGGCCTCATCTGAACTGAGCCATAAAGCAAACAAAGTCACTGATATGATTAAAAACATCTCTCTATCAAAACATATCCATGTGTTTATGAACTTATTAAATAGAGCTTGATCCAGGTAATGCCAGTGGATGTTTTCCTGAGCTAATAAGACCATGGGCAGAACTTTGTACCCTGCAGGTGAAGGCTAACATGGTTTCACGTTACTTATGCAATGAATTGAATGAATTTGGCCCCACTACAAGGGCAGATGTTGACACATGGGAACGAGTCCAGCAGGGGCAGGCAGGCTGCCAGGGACAGGGGCACAGGGCATTCCAGGAAAGCTGAAGGAGCTGGTCTTGTTCATCCTGGGGAATAGATGGCTATTGGGATCACATTGCTGTCTGCAGCTCCCTGATGGGGTCAGAGACAAGTCTTCTCTAAGCTGTATGGCAAAAGGATTAAATTCTGAATGAATGTGAGGAATTATTCCTTGTCATGAGTACGATCAAGCACAGAAAGCAGAGAGGCCATGCATGTCCTTCCTCAGTGCTATTGAGAACGCAACTGAACAAGAAAGGCCTTGGGCACCCTGACCTGCCTCTGACTTTGGCCTTGCTTTGATCAGGGTTGGAGCCAGAGATATCTGGAGAGCTCTTACAACTTGAATTATTTTATTTATGTTGTACTTATATAATTCTCTCTCCTATAAATAGCTGTTATTAATAAAAAAATCATAATATTTCTCTATGACCCAGGAGAGTCTTCTCAGAATTTTCCTCCAGCCTTTACTGAAGAGTCACAGCTCTACAAAGAGCTCCCAGAATGTTTTTACAGGGGTGACCAGTAACATGTACAACAGAAGGAGTGGATTGTAATAATTGTTAAAATAAACCATCTAAACCACTATTAGCATCATAACACACTAAACCATCCACATTTCAAGACATTATTAGCTCTCAATGACTTCAAAGTCTCCTCAGTTCTGCAGGAGCCCAGCACTTTGCCACCACAACCCTTCTCCAGAAGAGCATCAGCATTTGAATCTCAAGAAAAGTTATCTGCACCAGGGAAAATCAGGTGCCCAAATATCATCCACTTCCCTGCTGTGTGCAGCCTGGACCCGATGAGGGTCTCAGCAGCAGCAGCAGCTCTGAGGACACATCCCCATCCCTCACCTGCCCAGCTCTGAGAAGTTTCTGGATGATGAGGATGTCAGGCCAGGGCTCCACTGCAGAAGACAGGAGTAACTCATGGGGAAGCAGGACAATGCTACAATGAACACCAGAAAAAGGAGGCAGCAACCCACACAATTTGGCTGGACACTGACCCAGGTTATTGCTCTTTGAAGTGAATGCACTGCAGGGGAGGTGGGCTGGAGGTAACCCTGAGGTATTAACCTGCAGCTGATCAGAGGAACAGGAAATCATTGGTTTAATCAGCTTCCCTGACACTTCAGTGATCTCAGCTCTGCATCACTGAGCACTCGTCTCATCTTTGCCACAGCCCAAGCAGGAGCAATGAGGAGATGGCTGCAGGGAAGTGGCAGCTGACCTGGGACTGACACCATTCATGGCTGACAGAGGACAGAGCCAGCCAGGCAGCTTCACTGCTAGGGCTGGCAAAGTCTCCTTCAGGAGAAAATCTTCCCAAGGTACAAAAACAAATAATAAAATTCAATAGATTCTTATCTGCAATGAGACATTATTTATA